CTGCACCTCCCAGTCGCGAACCACTTCAACTCCCCCTCCCACTCCTTGGACAACATTTCCATCCTGGGCCCCCTCCAGTGCCACAACGATGCCACCCGAAGATTGCAGGAACAGCGCCTCATATTTCGCTTGGGAACTGTGCAGCCCAATGGTATCAATATGGACTTCACAAGCTTCAAAATCTCCCCTCCCCCAACCTCATCCCAAAACCAGCCCAGCTTGTCCCCGCCTCCCTGACCTGTCTGTCTTTTCTCCCACCTATCCGCTCCTCCCACCTCCTACCTACCAGCCTCATCCCCGCCTCCTTGACCTGTCCGTCTTCCCTCGACTGACCAACCCCCATCCCATCTCCCCGCCTACACTCACCTTTACTGGCTCCATCCCCACCTCCTTGACCTGTCCGTCTTCTCTCCACCTATCTGCTCCTTTATCCACCTTCCATCATCACCTCCCCCCCTCTCTGTACATATTTTGGAGCCCCCTTCCCCTCCCCCATTTCTGAAGCAGGGTCTAGACCCGAAATGTCAGCTTTCCTGCTCCGCTGATGCTGCCTGGCCTGTTGTGTTCATCCAGCTCTACATCTTGTTATTTCATAGAATGTCTACAGTGCAGAAAGAGGCCATACGGCCCATCAAGTTTGCTCTGATCCTCTGAAGAGCATCCCACCCATATTTTGCCTCCACCCCCAACTATATGAGGCTGTGTGCAGCAATAATCTATAGAAAGTGCTTTCTCAATAGCTACTGCGAGGAGCACCATCCGAACCAGCTACGTTTCATTAAACTGCAACCATAGAATGTCAACATCACTGACACTGCCTGCTATTGAGTGGCAGACCAGGCTTGAGGGGCCAAATGGCCTACTCATGTTCCTATTTCTTACGGTCGTATAATGTCTTTGTCGGTATTTAGGTCCTTGCAGTTCAGAACATGACCATGTACATATTTAATCAGTTACAGAATGTATTGGAAACTTTAAAAAGAAGTGGTTACTATTGCAAGGGGAAAGGAAAATACATGTGTATTCTGTGGGGTGGCAATAAGAAGTCAAGTGGCAGGATCACAAATACTCACTAATCTGTTATCAATACCACTATTAATAAGGCATTAGTGGTGAATTTGATCCAAATCCCCTGTAATTTAAGTGTGAAGTTAGTTTAACTTACAACATGGGTCTGAAATGTACAACAACGTAACTTTAGCAAAGGGCAGGTGACACTGCATGCTCTTAATCATGGTTAGTGTTAAGCCATTGGAATCACATTACAAGGCTGCAGATGTTGTCCTTATGCTAATTATACGAGTGCGGTTCCATTGTATCCCCCCATAAAAATTGATGAAACTTTTTTCAGCATTGTGTGAGTTGAAGAGAAAACTAGATTAATTGTTGGCTTTTTCATAACTTTATGCAAAAAAAAACAGAATTAAATTATCTCTTATTTGTGTGAATGATATATTGCATACATATTATCAAATAATATTAGTAGGAATATCTAAAGGCATGATAAGTGCCATCTAGAAGTTATTTTTAAGGGAATCGGAGGTGATTTATGTAAACTAATTCAGTGCTTAAGAAGTCATCAGGACAGGGTCATGTTTAGTGCCAGACGCCACTTTGGACAAAGAACTTGAAACCGCAGCTCAGAGGCTTGTTAAATAGTAGATCACCAAGTCAAATATCTAGTGATGCACAACAATCCCTGACCAGTGCTTAATAAAAAGCATGGCATTGTTGTTGATTTCAAATGCTGTTTATAAAATGTAATGCTGAAGCTGTGAAGAAAGACTCCTAATGAGCTTCAGAGGCTTTCTCAGGCACTTATCAAACACCTGAGCCACATTTATTCTAGACATTCTCTGAGGACCTCCCTAAAATAAGTAAGTGCCACGCTGCTACCCTGCCTTGTTGAACACCATATTGAATAACCAGAAACAAGTGGGTGTTTGGTCTCCAACCTGTTTCCAGCAATCTCCCTATCAGCTCATCGCTCACTACGAATTTAGGAAAAAAGGGCAAATTAGCCAAAGGCTGCCACTTTCGGAACCAAGAAAATCCCAATTTCTGTCCAATTATCCTGGAAGGAAAAGGTATCTGAACAATTTGAACAAGTTTAGTAATCTGTTTGAGGCTGCGACTGTGCAGTGGTGATATGAGTTGTATGTTTTATCCACAGAATACTACTGTCAATCCCAAAACAGTTTTGCCTGCCTCATAATGGAGCAGCATCATTGCAGTTTCATTGCAATCCAGGTACACAGTTCATCCGTTAAGCTGATAAAATCAAACAACTTGTACTTCTGGTTGTCGCAATAACCAGAGAAAAGACCATTTTGAACTTTCTTGGGCTGACAAGCCTAGTCCAGAATGTTTACTGTTAAATGTGATTGGGTAGCACATACAGAACAGTCCAGACCGTGCTAATAATCTTTCTTTTTAATTCATTCATGAGAGGTGGGCTGGGACAGCATTTATTGCCTTTACTAATTACCCCTAAGAAGGTGATGATGAGCTGCCTTCTTGAACCACTGCAATCTATACTACAGTCGCAACCAATTTAAGGAATCGAGTTTGTAACAGATCTTATTTATGCTTGCTAGAAGTAACTTGCATTCATACGCAAGAACTCATTCTCTGCAAACAAAAGAAAATTGTGCCCTGCACATTTTCATGAATTAACCAAAACCTAGGGCAGCCTATGGGTTCCCCATTGCTTTCTCCATGTTGATACTTTAGCCAATCAGAGATGACTTGCCAAAGAGTGAGCATCTTCTTCTTCAGTAGTGTAAATTGTTGTAATGATTTTAAATTTGGCGTTCTTGCACCTTTACTGAAGAATGCAAGAGACAAAATCTTCAGCCACACATATCCATTTTCAACAATATTAAAGTTCTGAACTACTGAGTGACTGAAAGAGTGGATTGAGAGGAGAGGGAGAATGAAAGAAAGAGTAACACCTCTTTTACCCAATTAAACATTGATTTAAAAAAATCTCCAACAATGTATATGTGAAGGAAAGAAACTGAAAGCCAAACGAAGGACATGTCCTTCCTGAATACACAAAACAGCTGCTAGCACCTATAAGCACTCTCAATTCAGAGATTTGATTATTATCTGAGACTGAATTTAGAAATCCCACACAGCAGTAACATATTTGAAGTGAGCGTGAGAGAAAGCTTGCTACAAATGTAGTAATGGATTTCAAGAGCCTAGTATAGGGATTAGTCTACTTTGGTGTTTATTGGTCAACATAGGCATGGTGAGCAAAAAGGCCTCCTTCTGTGCTGTATGGCTCTGGTTTTACAATCCTACAGTTACTTAAAAAAGAAAAATATGAGTAAAGTGAGTGTGCTCCAGAGAGTGGTAATTGGGCGTTTACAGTAGATTATGGGGAAATAGCAGATGAAAATAACAAAATATTTTGCTTATGTCTTCACCACAAAAAACATTCATGTATAACCGTATATCAGGTGGTGGAAAAGAAAGAGGAACTTGGTGAAATTACAATCACGAAGAAAGTAATGCTCCGCAAATTGAGAGAGCTGTTGGCTGATGAGTTACTGGACCCAGATTGACTTTACCTTAGGGTCTTAAACGAGTTTGCTAATGAACCAGTAGGTGCATTGGTGTTAATTTTGCAAAACTCCCTGGATTCAGGAAAGATTTCCAACAGACTGAAAAGGAGCAAATGTAGTCAAGAAGGGAGGGAGGCAGGAAGCAGGAAACTATACCAGTTCGCTTGATGTCTTCATGGGAGAGGTGTTAATAAAGGGGTTAAATCTGGGCACTTAAAAGATCTCAAAGTAATCAGGAAGAGTCACCATGGTTTTCTGAAAGCAAAAGTCATGGTTAACAACTTTATTAGATTTCTATGAAGGAATTAGACGCAGTGCGGATAAAGTGGATCCTGTAAACCTACTTGGGATTCCAGAAGGCTTTTATAAAGTGCCATAGCAGAGGTTATTCTATAAAATAAAAGCTAATGATGTCGAACATGGAAGGAAAACTGGCTGTCTTGTTGAAAACAGAGGGTAAGCATAAATGGGTCATTTTTTGATTGACAGGACGTGACAAGTGGAATCCCACATGGATCTGTGCAGAGGCCCCTACATTTTGTAATTTACTTCCATGACTTAGGTGAGGGGAGCAAAAGATATCTGAGTTTATCTGAAAGTATCATGAAAGTAAATTGCAAAATGTTGGGGCCTCAGCACAGATCCATGTGGGATTCCACTTGTCACATCCTGTTATCTGAATTTGTATATGATACCAAGATACGTAGGACATATGTTCCAAAGAAGACCTAAAGAGTCTGCACAAGGACATAGATGAGTAATATCAGGTGGATGGAGTATTCTACGGAAAAACGTGGAGTTGTTTACTTTGGCAGAAAGAATGAAAAGTCAGAATATTGCTTAAACAGAGATCTGCTGCAGAAATCCGAGGTGCAGAGAGAACTAGGTGTTCTCATGGATGCACTACAAAAAAGTAGCATGCAAGTACAACACATAATCAAGGCTAATAGGATGCTATCCTTTATTACAAGAGGAATTAAACATTAAACACGAGGGTGGTATTCTTCAGCTTTACAGGGCATTGATGAGACCACATCTCGAATACTGCGTATAGTTTTGGTCTCCTTATTTAAGGAAGGATGTGAACATGATTGAGGCGGTTCAGACTTTTGCATTCAGTGAGGGCTGTGAATTAATGACTTAAAGAGACTGCAGTGCTCTAGTCACACATATTTTGTAGTATCAATGAGGGGAATTTTAACCTGGAGAGCTGTTGAGGTTTGGATGTAGGAGAGGGGTTTAAGATGCCACTACATCAGGAAGTTGACTCCAATCTACTGATTTGGGTTGAACTGGAGAGTATTAGGCAGTCAGCCTTCGAGGAGAGGTGCGTGCCTTTTAATTTATTTTAACTTCTCATTTACAGTAATATTTGAACTTAAATCTCCATCATAATACCATGCCCATGACTTCCTGGTTTCTTCACAGTTAACAATGTGGATATAGAATCGTTGAATCACCGTGGCAAGTGAATAGTGCCATTTTAAGAAGATTGGGGAATGCTGCTGAATGAAATTCAAGAACTACTGCAATGAATATTTGGTATTCATTATCTCTGCTTCCTTATCTCTTGGTGGGTAAGTGTTTGCCCTCTCCCTTTCACCATCACCCCTATTGCATTCTGTTGTTACCACTCCTGATGAGCACTTTGATGCAGACCAGCATGTCTTTGTAAGGTGACAGTCAGGTGGCTAGCATGTTGACATACAAAGTCTGCATGTCCTGGCACCGGAATACACGGATTCAGTTCAACATGATGCTGCAGTCATTGACCATGCTGGAAGAGTTTATTAGCATATCTTGCAGTGCTGACCCACTCATGTTTGAGGTGAACTTCTCCATTCTGTCATCAGTCATGGTCGGTCTGCTTATCGAATGCCGGTCTGCGTATAACCCACTGCAACTGCTCAGTGATTCCTCTTTTCTTCAATGTTTTCTGTGGTACAGCATTTGAGTCTGGCTGTGCTCTCCACAATGACTGCTCTCTACTGACATGCTTGTTGTTGAGCACTTGAGAGGTACACACCAGGCACCTAGTGAAAATTAAATCACTTGCCTACATGATCCCACCAAAGTGTGAGTCCAGGGTGGTGTGTGGCAGTGTATGTGAGTTCTGTCATAGGACAACATGAGCCCCAAGGACACTAGGTCCACTGCCTGGAAGGGTCAGATGCTGACCTGCAATACCCTCAGGCTGAGGTGAAGTACACTGAAGAGTAAGGTGCCCTTATTCCAGGACAAAGTGGCCTCTTCCTGCTGATCCCTAGGAATAGGCCCTCCTCCTCTCCCTCATGTGTGCCAGTCCTCTGGCTTGGGTGCCACTGATGCTAGAGGATGTATTGAGACAAATTCTGTCCTTCTCACAGAACAAGCATTAGCCATGGTGTCTGAGACCTGTCTCCATTCCTGCCCCTGACTGGTCTTAATTGGACAGGAAACCCATCTCTATCCCAGTTAAGGGTTCATCCCTGGGAAAATCCAAACATCCGATTGAGTCTCACTGTAGATAGGTAACTGATGCTATTACACACACTTTCCCGGTTTCCTGTCTCCAGTGAGACAAACCGCCATCGGAAATGAAGTAAAAGTGACTGATTGCCATATGAAATGAGTTGCAAATATTTAATTGTTTCACAAAATACTCATCTCTCAGCTCGGGATGTTAAAACTCTAGTGATGCCTGGCTGTTCCCCTACTTTACTCTTTCACCCTTTCTTCATGAGATGTGGGTGCCACTGGCAAGGTCAACATTTTTTGCCCATCTCTAATTTCCCTTGAACTGTGCGGCTCACTCAGGGCCATTTCATCAGGTAGTTAACAATCAACAATATTTCTGCGTTCTCTTGTATGTTAGGCTGGAAAAAGACAGCGGATTTCCTTTCTTGAAGGACATCAGTGAACTCAGTGGATACTTACAGCAATCAATGATAGTTTCTGTAGTGATTTGAACAAGGTTGGTCAGGTAGATCTCATTGAGTATGAGTTCCCTGATTGAGGCTGTTAACCTGGGCCAATCAGGTTGTCCTGGCTGACAGATATAAACAGGAGTCTCAGAGTTTATCCTCTCTTTGGGGTCTGGCTCTGATCTAGGTTGTCAGAGTCTATATACTGTGCATGTGTCAATAAAGGGTGACTTGGTGATGGGATACTGGGATCTGAGGGCGTAGAAGGATGGGTTAGTAAATTTGCGGATGACACCAAAGTCGGTGGAGTTGTGGATAGTGCAGAAGGATGTTGTAGGTTACAGAGGGACATAGATAAGCTGCAGAGCTGGGCTGAGAGGTGGCAAATGGAGTTTAATGCGGAAAAGTGTGAGGTGATTCACTTTGGAAGGAGTAACAGGAATACAGAGTACTGGGCTAATGGTAAGACTCTTGGTAGTGTGGATGAGCAGAAAGATCTCGGTGTCCATGTGCATAGATCACTGAAAGTTGCCACCCAGGTTGATAGCGTTGTTAAGAAGGTGTACAGTATGTTAGGTTTTATTGGTAGAGGGATTGAGTTTCGGAGCCATGAGGTCATGTTGCAGCTGTACAAAACTCTGGTGTGGCCGCACTTGGAGTATTGCGTACAGTTCTGGTCACCGCATTATAGGAAGGATGTGGAAGCATTGGAAAGGGTGCAGAGGAGATTTACCAGGATGTTGCCTGGTATGGAGGGAAGGTCTTATGAGGAAAGGCTGAGGGTTTTGAGGCTGTTTTCGTTAGAGAGAAGAAGGTTAAGAGGTGACTTGATAGAGACATACAAGATGATCAGAGGATTAGATAGGGTGGACAATGGGAGCCTTTTTCCTCGGATGGTGATGGCTAGCACGAGGGGACATAGCTTTAAATTGAGGGGTGATAGATATAGGACAGATGTCAGAGGTAGGTTCTTTACTCAGAGAGTAGTAAGGGCGTGGAATGCCCTGCCTGCAAAAATAGTAGACTCGCCCACTTTAAGGGCATTTAAATGGTCATTGGATAAACATATGGATGATAATGGAATAGTTTAAGTTAGATGGGCTTCAGATTGGTTTCACAGGTCGGCGCAACATCGAGGGCTGAAGAGCCTGTACTGCGCTGTAATGTTCTATGTTCTATGTTATTTCAGTTCACAGTCACCTTTGGCATGACTGGCTTGAATTCAATATTTATTCATTGAATTTAATTTCCACTAGCTGCCTTGGTGAGATTTGAACCTATGTCACCCAAACATTTGCCTGGGCTTTTGGTTTATGAATCCAGTGATGTTACCACTACACATCTAGCTCCCCCTATTGGTTGTTTGTTGGTTGAATCATAGAATCATAAAAACCCAACAGTGTGGAAGCAGGCCATTAGGCCCATTGAGTCTCCACTGACCCTCCGAAGAGCATCCCATCCAGACCGACCCCCACTATCCTATCCCCATATTTACCATGGATAATCCCTCTAACCTCCACATCCCTGGGAACTATGAGCAATTTAACAAGGCCAATCTACCTAACCTACATCATGTAGGTTGCAAGATGTTTGGAGAATAACTCCCTGCCCTTTCCCCTGCTCTGTTGTCTTGTGCTTTTTTCTATGATTAAAGAAAATTCAGACTTATTTGTTAATGTGATGGATGACATGTGTTCGCCTGTTGGATACAGTACATTCACTGAGGGAGAGACACCTGAAGCTACCTAGAGTGAGGTTAGTGGTGGATAAATGGACAAAGATGTTGACAGATGCCCTGGACTGAGATTAATGGGCGCAACACACTGTTATATGGGTGTCAGGAATGCTGTGATGGATTAGATTTGAGGGATGTGGTGAGAGGATTAAGGTGACTCGGGCACCATGATGTAGGTGAATGTGCAACTGTTCTCGCTTTACCGACCTGATAAGGACATGAAAATATTTCCTGTACTCTATTCAGAGACATGGCACCATGCTCGTGCTGATTACCTCTTTGGCAAACTCAGACAACATCTTCTTCGTTTCTGCCTTAAGTGCTCTCCCTTCAGTGCTGAGGAATCATATGTTACCTCCACTTGTTCACAGTCTCCAGCAAGATGCAAATGGAGGCATCAGTAAAGCTCGGTGGAGGCTTTCAGCGTTTCAGATCCCTTGTTGAAGATGCTCCTTTCTTCCTGAGAAGGGAATTAAGTTGAGGATTCTCAACGCTAGCTGACATGCCTCCAAATGGCATCTTTGGAATAGCTCTACAAAACACTGGAGTTGAGATGACATATGGGGTAACTCAGTACAGAGTAGACAGTAAACCCTGAGGCAAAAATCCTCAGGAGTTATCTGAGCTTGAAGGTTGAACTGCTGAATGGATTAGAGGATTTTCATGTGCCATTGGGCTTATCCCCCACCATCAACCTGGCTACACTCTGTTAACATCTCCATTTCTCAGTTAACATCTAGACCAATGTCTACCCAACCAGCAGGAACAGGCTGTCTATGTTTTAAAGTTTATAACTCAACTTTCACAGGGTCAGAATAGAACGAGGAAGTTTATTTTCTCTGAGTCCCAGTTTATGGAGAAGGTAAATTGGTTCTTTGTTGCTTTCGTCATCCAAGGTCTAGAGAGAATATGTCGTTCTCATTCTGTCAGTCTGGATACTATCCTTTCCTTTTTTTGTGTAAATAAACCAGTTATTTGTTAAAGGCTTCGCCTGTTTTTTTTTGTGGAGTACTTTTTCAGTCTGCTCTCAGTAAAGAGAGGAGAAATTGCATGGCAGCCTGTATTATATTTCAACAGCTGGTGAATGAAGTAAGGGTTCTCTTTATGTAGCAAGGTGTTGGGCAGAAAAGAAACTGCACAACAGATCTTGGTGAAAATCATGTTCTATTCAGGAAATGCTGGAGCAGAGTTGTGGTAGCCAGCAACAATGCTGCCAATCACTCATCCCATCGCTTCTCTTGACTCTTCCACTTATTCTACCAGAGCAGGCTGTAGGGATTGCTACCATTGCACAGTGAGGTTATGGAGACACAGTCTGGAGTATGGCTTTTACTGAAGGTTCTTTTCACAAGTATCTGCGTACACTGTGGTGTTAGAGCAACAACAGTTTGCTCTACGAGATCGTAATGCTTTGCATTGTCTGTGCTTGGGTTCCTATTCATAATCCGAGTCATCAAGATTTTGTTCTTTTCCCTGAGCAGCCAGCTTTTGACCCGCTACTCCCAGGGTGGTGGGAGGTGAATGCTGTTGGTTAATGATTGACATAGGGTAAACAGACATAACGTCAGTAAGAAATCGAGCACAAACCTGGTTGAATTGTGTGCCTCTGTGGCCTGTTCTTCAAGTCTCACCTGCTTTAGAGGTGTGTAACAGGACGTCGGGCAGTCGAGGGCAGCATATGGAGAGGGCTTTTCCTGTTGATAATTTTTCTATGAAGTTAAACATATGCAGTACGGTCATACATCATATTGACAAGAACGTTTGGAGCCGCATGCAATTGTAAATCATTGCCACATCCTGAACCCACTTGGCTCAGCAGTGTGTCAGTTGGGGGGATCTTCCAAGGGGTGGCTAATTAGTGAGCGATCTTAGCATCCACCTTCCAATTAAGCACTGTGGGCAGACAGAAAGGCAAGAGGTCCATTAAGTGGAAGGGATT